TTTCACGCCATCGTCGTCATCGTAAACCTTACGACGAAATAATCATCGTTCTTTTCTCTCTCGTTTACATAAAATCGGCTGCTCGATAGCATCTGCAGCCAAGAAAAGGAACGAGACAAGTCGGCTTAACCGTTATCGTTTCTCTAGAATACCTTACCGCATCTAATTGTAAAGAATTTATTTTCTCTTCGTCCTTCTTCCTATTTGCGTCAAAGTGTCATAATTGATGGATTAACCGCGATGTTTTGTACTTTAATTTGCGACTTTTCCTCGGATATATGTGTCATAATTTAACCTCGTGGAAAGTTTTGATATGAATTTTCGCTCCGCGATACGTATTAATTCACGAGCGAAAATGAGAAGCAATGTACGGATGTAATTTTATTACGGCGAAAATCTCCTGGAGAGCAACGGAGACGAATGTATCCGTGACGTTACATGTTGCGCAACACAGTTGAATCTCGTTTCTGAAGTCTCTTGGAAATGCTATAGACATGTAACACTATTATGCTTATTCTAACAAAACTTAAATTCTTAGAAAATACTCGTATATTTGTCCCAACCTAACGAAAGTTGTTTTAAATACATATCGTCGTGTTAACATTTTGTTTAATTGTAATAATTAACAATTAACACTGTGCCTTTTTTATTTCACTTTTCACATATTGAAATTATATGAAATTATCGCTAATTAAAGAGAGGATAAATTGCAACAAGAGCGCATTGTAAATATAGGAAATACTTTGTTTGGTATAATTTTCATGAAAATAGGCAGATTTATTGCAGCGAGCTTATATAATAACAGAAACAAAGTGTATGGCCTCACGTGCCAGTCGGACAAAACTTTAGCTTTCATTAGCGGATAAATTGAGAATGCACGAGGCGCATTTTGATTTCACGAGAGTTACATTTTGCCTGTAACAGCAAATATTTAATCGTCGAGAGCATAATTTTTAAACTAAATGCAACAATAATTCGCCTACCCCTATCATAAATGTTCATTAACGTTAAAGACAACATCGGCGCATTTTGTGCAGTTAATTGATAATCCTGCTCGTGCACGAGATGTACGGATACACGCATTTGATAAAATTCTGACAGACGGGATTCGCGGCGCGAACAGATAAACGGACCGACGGTGGAATTTGAATCGCCGCTCTCGACAGAGACGTCCCGCTTGCTGCCAGTTAAAACTGTAAATTTAATTATTTATAATGTTCACGGTAACTGAATTTGAATATGAAATTATGCGCATATATCTTAGCTTTCGGCTCGTCAGGTCACTAAAGCACTTTGTGAAGAAGAGAATCCTCCTCTCTTTCTCGAGAAATTAGCACCGCTCTCTGGCGCGACTATCCCGTGAATCTCTCTCTAATGCCCGCTCGTTCCCGTATTTTAAAACTGCTTTAACAGTACTCAGGCGCACAGTTGATAATCTCCTCCTGCTTTAATTAATCCACTTGTGCGAAATGCTGGCAAGAAGTGCATTTCGACGAGATTGGCGAGCGTGCGCGAAATTCGAAGAGCGCGTAACGAGCTTATCATATTTTCATGTCTTTTTATACCCTTTTCGTCATTTCGATAAATGATCGCGTTACCCTGCGATCGATGCTGCACGTGATCATTATGAATTTCGCATTGAATAATTTTACAACGATAAAGTAAAAGTTACCGATTTATTTTCAGAAAAAACGCGGAAAGATTAAACGGAAGATGCATTATAAGTGAGATATATTTTCTTTAATCAGCATCTGATAAAGTTTATAATTTTCATTTCATATATGTGAAATAGACAAATATAAACGATACATATGAGTGAAATTGCCTCATAAATATTTACACCGAAATGTATAACCGCTACATAGCATTCGATGATGGAATGTAATTCGGTATTGACCGATGCTTTGTATTCATCGCATATAATTAGTAAATACGCCATGTTTAATTCTATATTGAGTGTATAACGTATAAATATTTAACGTATGACAAATCGTCGCGACAAAATTTTCTTGTTCACAAACGTGGAGTACGTTTAATTCAATTTTCTATTTTAATTTGGCTCTTGAAAAATTTGTCTACGCCGACCATTAGGTCGGATAATATTATGTTCAAAATGCACTGCTCGATTTTAATTATAAAGGTTTGCAAAGATCAAAAATATAATTGCAATAACAAATTATTAATGCAGTCAAAAAACATACAAAATTACATTGCAAACTCGCATCAGTCATCGATGATATATATACGATGTGTACGATGTAAATAATTATGTATTTTCGCGTAATATCGATAAAGCATTTACTTATGAAACGCGGTCGATGATAAAAACGAATGGGTTGCGAACATTCGAGTCAACAATCAATCTCCCCAAGGAGGGAAACTGACAACATATCGTTCTGTTAAGCACGGGCCAACAATTTCTAAGTTCAATTTCTCCGTCGAGAATTCGCGGGACGTCTGCGAAGCGAGAAGAATTGATAATGCTAAATCAGAATAATAGAAATTAGGATAATCCTGCCTTTCTATTTATTGTATTGTTTTAGCGCAGAAAGTTATTATATATAATTAAAGCATGTTATATTTATTTAGTATAAGAATTATTATTTAATATTATTATTTAATATAATATAATATAATATAATATAATATAATATAATATTATATTATATTATATAATATTATATTATATTATATAATATTATATTATATTATATTATATTATATTATATTATATAATATTATATAATATTATTTAATATTATTTTTTCAATAATGGTAGTTTCATTTTTAAATCAATGTTAGACATATACACGTGTTGCTGTTATTGTCAGTGTGTTATCATGTGTGTATGTTAGATGTATATAAAAATGATTTTATTTTCAAGGCATCTAAGTGCGGATCTAAGTACATACTTGGAGGGAAAAGTACAGATGTTTGTCTCCATATGTACTTCACATCACTCTTCATAACGTGCGGTGACCATCGGTATTTCCGCCTCGTTCCGGACATCTTGGCGCGCTTTACAGATGCTCTCTTTTTCTCTCCTCTTCTCGTTCTCTTGCTCTTTCTTTATCAGCGGTAGTAGTAGCGGGATGCTGTCGTACGGCGGATTGAATGAGCGAATTAAACTTTCATTGCACCGATGTGGTCCCCACGAGGGACATCGTCTTCGTCCCTTCGTTCTCTCGCGGTCCATTCTTCTCCCGTGTCTTATTATCTTGATTTGCGCGCATCTCGTTCGTCGTTTCCGGTGTAATGCTCTCTTTGTCTCTTTTCGTTTCTGTTATTACTTACATTTTGCTCTTCACATTGTTGCTTCAATATTTTTCCACGTTTTTGTTCCCATTGCAATTTGGCATTGTTCGCCGCCTATCATTGTCGGTTATAATTGTCATTGAGGTATTCCCTTTTGTGTATTCTGGTTACGTAATTACATCCATTAGATATAAAAGAATTATTCTCATCGCACACTTATATAAGTAGTAGAGAACATTACAAGTAAGAATCTAATGTGAAAAATAATGTAACTGTAAAATATATATTTTATAGGAACGTTTAGAATCATGAATTTACATTTTTCAGATAATTTGTGCGAATAAATACAGAGAGAGAGAGAGAGAAATACACGCAAATAAATTGAATTTAAAAAACAAGCTTTTATAATTATTCGATATAGTTATTGATATCGGAGGCCAAAGAAATAATTATATTGAAAGTAAAGGATTTAATTGATTATATCATCTTCCGATCTTCCGAATTATCATTCTCGATAATTCATCCTTCGTCTATGACAAAGCTCTGAATTCTAGGCTTCTTTCTCAAGCGACAGAGGTAATGAGGCGTGAGATATTAAGATATTGGATAACCAAAAACTCTATCTCGTTTGGTGCCTGATTCAGTCATTGTGGTTCTATTTGAAGAGTAAGATGCTTGGTGCGGTCGATACGATTCTGATGGCATCGTTGAAAGCTCGAAAAAGAAGTTTCGCCGAAGAAACTGAAGCCCAACACAGTTGCAATTTTGAAGGCAATATTCGTAAAATTTTCTCCTCACATACGTAATTTTCCCTTCTTCCTTTTCACATTCTTCCGCTTCTCAAATAGAAAATTCTATTTCCATTCGGAACTTCACATTTACATCTCATAATGTGCTACTTGCGCATCTTTATTCGCGATAAGTTAAAATAGCATTATCATTTCGCAGCGAATTATATTTTACTTTATCTTTAACTTATTCGGAAATAAATCTAGTAGAAATTTCATAAGAAAAGAAGTGCCTTACTTATTTTGACAGCGATTATGCAAATTAAAGTTATGCGATTTTTAAGCTCAAATTAAGGATGAATTAGCATTACGAATATATTGGATTAACATTACGAATAATTTGTTTCAAAAATATTTATTTCTCAACATCTAATTATTTATTTTAATTTATTTCTCAATTATCAGAATACATATCATATATATCTCCCAAGGGATAATTTTTATTTTTAAAACATAATTATATTTAAAGACTAGGAGAAGCGCAAGGATGACGAGTCTTCTTTTTTCAGCAGGAATCTAGATTCTGCAATTTACTAATGAAATTTTAAAAAAATCCGTGGGAAAATCGATTCTACAAATATTTCCTTTTCCATTTTATATCTCGTAATTTGTTACCGCAAAGCATCTTCATCGCTTTGTAGGGGATCCAAACTATCATCGTTTCCACGGCGTTTCTAGGGAAATAACAATCCGTTGACTTTGTCCCAGTTTGTATCCGTTTTCAGATTCCCTCGCGATCCTTCGCGTTTCTCTCAGCCATCGCTCTTTCGCCCTCCGTCTCGTTATCCCCCGTTATCCTCGATATCTCTCTCTCTCTCTCTCTCTCTCTCTCTCTCTCTCTCTCTCTCTCTTCGTTGCTCTCCGTTCGTTCTGGCGACGCCGATGGAGGACGGACGGACGGCCGTACCGAACGAGGACCAGCGCAGGCAGACTGCGAACGTCAGAGTGCCCTCCGACTTCGTCGCGTACACATCCCTCCTGAATCGCGACTATCGCGCATAGCTACGTTTTGCGAATCGCGTCCTACGTTTCGCGTTTAAATCGCACATTACCGCGAAAACAACGTGGCACATTTGTGATATCGATACACTTGTGATTTTGTGCGAATTTCATTTCGAGAGGAAGCAAAGTCCGTTGGCAGTTACGAAGAGCGAAACGGAAATTGAAAACGACGGCGCAATCCGGTAGAGATACCGTGAGAGAAACTGGACTTCATTTCGCGTGTGGAATTCGCCTTCGAGCTCTCTCGATTACATCGGCACGGAATTTCTGTCCGTTTCTCTGAGAATTATCTTCCAAGATCTGTCCGTTCGGTGGAAGCATCCAGCACGATTATCGAAGATTTTACTAAAGAGAGAAGAAAGAGATACACTCTGGACAAATTACTTTCTTCCAAAGTATTATTTGCAAGCTGATTTTCATCCTTCGAACGTTTTGAAGGTAACGTTGTATGTTAGCAGCGATAATATAATCACTCGATACGGATTTACTGCGAAGCAGCGATTTATTTTGCGGTAAAATAAAAAGCAGGAGTTCCGAGTGTACTATCGATAAATCACCCTCATCGATTTAGGATGGATATCTGGAGGAAGCGACACTCGTAGAACTTCCGATATTGGTGCTGTGCCCTTTCAAGCGTGCACTATTCCAATTTTTGTTGGAAATCGTGGGAGAAACTGGAATCGGTGGAATATTGCGAGAGATCAAGCACGATGCGCTGAAGAAGCATCGATCATCGCGGGCCAAAAGCGGGGTGGCCTAGGCGCGCTGGATGTTCAATTAAATCGTTTCAGTATCGAAAGCGGGATAGACGAGCAGATAGTGTGATAGGAACGAGCATAAGTCGAGAGAGTGAAAGAGAAAGATAGCTGGAACGGATTCGGTTAAATTGGAGCGACAAATATCGCGATGCTGCTGCAGAAGAGTGCTTTGTCATCTTAAAAAAATATTACAAGTACCGTGAGAAAAGGATCGATTTAATCTCGATCAATTTAAAAAGAAAACATAATTAAAAAGAAATAATGTTTATGCTATAAAAAACATAAAGAGTGTGTCGAATATTCGTGAAAAAAGAATTTCCTTAAAGCGTCACATGGTCCATAATAACGTTCAATAGATGTAACTGAGTTACTTGCGCGGAGAATTAACGTCATCAGAGCGATATAAACGATATATAAAAGTGGGAATTTTAACATCTGCGCGCAAGGGCTACTATATTAATCGCCTGTCGTAATTGGGGTTTGTAGGGATCGCGCTTAATTAGTTCGGGGTCTCTAACGGGTGAACGATGAAGTGGTGCGTGCTAGTGTTGGTATTCGCCGGTCTGACTAGAGGCGATAACACCATCGGCGCAGACAAGATCTTGCACTGCCCAGAGCTCAATGCTCAAGATGAGATAGATCTCGACAAGGTACGTGCGTCTCGTTATCATTCGCTATCTATCACTTTATCCATTCACACATAGCACGCACGCATGAATAACAATAATATTTCTATATAGAAATATGTTCACAATTTCTATATATGTATATTCTTTTTAGTATATTGTACGTAATTATAGCTTTTTCATTTTTCTACATTTATTAATAAATCCAACAAAATCCATTAAACTCACTTCTTATAAATATGTTTCTTATATATCTATTATGTTCCTTATATTTCTTATAATTCTTATAAATTCTATTAAATATGTAGTTCTTAAGAATGTTTAGAGAATATTTAGTTGTTTAAAATTGGAAGAGCATCGTTTGAAATACAATGGCAATTACAAATAATTTGTATATTAATTAAATATAATTAAAGTATTTTCTTTCTTATTTATTCTTTATAAATTTAATTCATACTCTTTTTTATATTAAATATATTAAATATATGATGACGTTTTTTATATTAAATATATGATTTTTAAAAATGTCGAGAAAATATATACGACAGCCATTTTCGTTCGTAAAGAACGAATTTTCGTGCATTTGAAAAGAATAATTACGAAAGATTCGTGCAGCTTTTATGACATATAGCGCATTTTAGATGTCACCGACACTTAAGATGATATTTGGATAAAACGTCTACATAAGCAAAGGGATAATATATCAGGCTTTTAATATGTTTCCCGTCACAAGCATTATCCATGATGTTCGCCGATAATTCACTGGCGCGTCATAAGCATCACTCGTGGCTGCTCGGCATACATTTGCCTTAATACAACTTTCACATTTCGAGGAAAGAAAAATATTCGTCATTATACAAATGTGCTATTAACTTTCATATAGCGTTTGTCAACATAATTTTCAATATTCGCGCAGCATTGTGTGGTTATTATTTTATGATAATTAATTGCGTTATTTAATTTTCTCCGCATTTAATAAAGATAAACTTTATCAATATTATGTAGTCGCCAATTTTCTCTAACGTAATATGCTTGTTTAATATACCAATAAATGTATTATAAATGAGTTTAAAACATCCATAAACTTTGTATTGATTTTGTTCAGGGGATGCACGAGGGAATTCATTTAAAACACGTAACAAAAATTACAGAAAATAAGTTTTCTAATCATTGACGTTTTCAGAAAACTCGAAACTCGAAATGACAGATCTCAATAAGTCGGATATGGCGACCTGGATATATCGGATATAGCGAGTTTGATAAATTAGCAATATTAATGATATGGCAGTACTATTTTTAACATTGTATCTCTTAAAATTTATTAATAAAGGATAACAAGCACATAGAAGAAGAAAAATATAACGAAAGAAACTCGTTAGTTTAGTGAAATTTAGTCTGAAATCCGAGCCTTTGTGCGTTATATTCAAGCAAAAATTTTATTCAATTTGCTTTGCTACAGATTTTTTACACTCCAAACTAAAAAAAAACTTACTATACTAAGTTTTTTAATTTTTTTTCTAGTAACGACTGTTTTTAAAACATCACCACATCAATATTATTATCATATTAATAATTAAATGATTATAATAGTGATTTTAATTTTGGCAAATTAAAGAAATTAAATTTTTAAGAGAGAAGATGAATAAGAAACTCAAATTTATTTAATTATATATATATATATATATATATATATATATATATATTGTTTTTTTAATAGAATTTTTATTTTTCTTTTCGATCAAAATAGATTTCTTAATTTATTGGAAATGTGTCTCCTGAAATTTAAACAAACTTGATCATCGACATCGGTTTTATTTTTTACGCGGGATGTATATGTTTCGCTCTATACATGTGTGTGCGACATGACGCGTTCATTGATCAAACTAAGTTTAACGCTGTGTGTCATGGTCTCAAAAATTAGGTCAACCAGTTCTTCCTTACCAAAGAACTGCCAAAATTTAATTCGACGGTAATGGACGCATGCAAATTTGCATTTTAGTACATGAAACGCTATTTTCAACTTGCGTCGCATAAAAACAAATGATTAGATGAACATGCAAATGTCACTAAAACATAGCTAGATGCTTTTGATAGCGCGAATATGTAGTAGTATTTTTTTCTTCTTTTTCCTTTCCTTCTTTTTTAACATAGAGTCTATATAACTGTATACAAGTATTACAATTGGACCTACAATCGTTATGGACGAACCGCGTAATGGTTCGCAGTTGGGCGCAGCTTAAAGTATCGTTAATTCAAAATAATTACGAGGTTCCTGGCACACTGCCTCTACAAAGTTGTTGAGCCGCTTCAGCTTATATAGTTACATACGGAGTGCATTAAGTGCCGGTCATAATTTAAATGGTCGCGTCCAAGACTCGTAATTCCAATCCCACGAGGTTAGCTACGTAATTAATGGATCACTTTTTCCTGCGCATAATTTTCCATCATATGTAGCCGTACGCAAAGTACCACGTGTGTATAACGCTACAAAAATTGCTGAACGTTTTAAATATTCTCTAGGCATCGTACTAAGTTCGACTAATCCAAATAAGTTTGGGCACTTTACAGCGAATTAAGATGTTTAAGTATTCAAATTATTTCAGTATTACATTTTATATTGTATCATTTATACTGTATTATATGTATAATTCGAGTGTTCTTATAATATTACAATGCCCATATATATTATCGACATATGTATGAAGTTATCAAAGTTATGTCGGCTTAGAGCTTCACGCAGGGTGCATTAAGTGGTCGTTATGAATTAAATCGACGTGTTCAAGACCCGTTATTTCAATGGAACAAGGTTACTCATACGCTAACGCATGCTGTATTCGCTAAGTATATATTAGTGGCGATCGATAATTCTAAAGTATCATTAAATATTCATCTAAGACAAATCGTGTCGTAGCTAACAATATTTTCTGAATTTTTTTATCGCTTTTAAGTTTGTAAAACCTATAATGTTAAAAATATATATTAAAAACTTATAATGTTAAAAATTTATATTATGTAAATTACTTGAAAAACTTTAAATCGTTAAATGTATGTTTATACCAAGAACTTTAATATAAAGTTGTTCTTATAATATAGAGTTTAATGAGTTAAAACTTTATTTTCAATTATTATCAATACCACGCAAGAAAGTTAGTCACTGACAACAGTTTCCTTGAGTTTATATACCGAGATTGTGTAGCGAGATATTAAATTAATTATTTCTTTATTCCCGAACTTAAATTGTTAGGAATGCTTTGACATAATTGGATAAGATTTTTATTTATAAGAAACAGAAGGATACAAACAAGTGAAAATATGATTTTTCATGGATTCAATCGGGTAAAAATGTGCGTGTAAAAAATAATTTCTATACGTCTATTGTTTTAAAAAATGTAAATTATTCATATAAAATCGTAGCATTTGTTAAATCGTAATTTTTATTTTTTCTACAATAATTATTTTAACGCAAATTTACCGTTGTGAAAACTTCTCAAATAAACATAAATTTTCAATTTCGTAACTTTATTTTTCTTTTATATAGGTGTAAATTAAAGAAAAATCGCAATGTGAATTGCAAAGGTAATGTTATCATCGTCTCTGAAAACGTAACTTTAACAAAATCTTTCTTCGCGTATTTCATAAACTATCTCGTTTCTTCGTTTCAATGCCGAGTTAACGTCTGAAAGACCACTCTTTCTCGTAGCTTTTCTCATATCCCCTGCACGAACTGGACTTACGCTACATTATTATCAAAAGCCTCTATCGTACGGCCAGTTCTCGACGTTTCTCTTTTTGTCGTCTTTCAATAGGATTCCTATGAGTTGCGTTCTATAGTCGTGCAATGAGCCAAGGGAAAAATCCGACTTTGTCTATGATCTATGAGAGTATAAAGTGATGATGAAAACACTATATCTATATGTGCAAAGTGCAGAGAGAAAAGGATATAGACCCAAAAATCTTTGCGAAAAAAAACCTAAAATATAATCGGATTCACGTCGTATTTTACAGCTAAATACATACTTTTTTATTTTTTGGATATCAAGCAGAGTATAAGAGAATTGATTTTATTATGCATATATCAAAATTCTTTAAATTCCAGATACGATCTCACAGAATGCTCATCAACTTCCGAACTTGTACAAACTTATAATTTGCACGCCATAATTAATTAACCTTATATATGTCTACATCATATTGAAAAGACCATTTATTATCATTCTGCGAAAAAAAAGAAGCGCTTAATTTTCCGTAATTCCTAAAATCGACCGAATTGATATTCACATTTGTGGATTTGTGCCCGCATTTCGCTTGTCGCTCTAGAAATAGCGTATAATAAACTGTTCCTGCGAATGCCCGCCTGTGACGGGCTGAGAGCGAACGTAACTGCAAACTGCATCTGCGGCGCTTTCATTTGCGACCGCGTCGTAATCGCGGCACACGGCGAAATCGCAGCAGCCACGTCGGCAACGACGGTAGGCGTTATCTTGCTCACGCGAGAGAAAAATAAGAAAAAAAAAAAAGAGAAAAAATAGGAAACTTTTCTCCGTGCTTTCCTGTTGAAAAGGCTTTCGGTGTAAGTTTTCGCGGCAGACAATAAACCATGGCCATTTCTCATTGTGCCGTTGTGCGTACAGCGCATTGAAAGAGAGGGGTATTCACCGGCGACATCGAAATTTATTTGCGGAATTATTCCTTAAACTTTTCGCACCGGTAATTTACATGGTTTAGAATTTATTGTACAAGTAGCAGGTGTTTGCATTATATGCAAACCCGGCGAATTGAGGTATTATTAAAGAACAGTTATTAAAACATGCGCGCGGCGAGCTTTAATTTATAGAAAGACAACCCTCAATTTAATCTGACAGATTTGACCCCCGAGATGGGATCTACGGTTCTAAATAAAATATATTCCGATAAAAATTCTTTATAGTATCGAGTGCTATTAATCGATCGTCGATTTGTATTAATTTCGCACTGATTATTTGATTGACACTTTGAAATCTTGTTTCCAAAATAATTTCGAGTCT